GTGAACTACTCCAAACCAGAAGCCTAACTCGACCTTTAATGATGAACCTTGTCTCTAGTCGGATGAACTTGTCCATCACCATCACCATATTCTACCCCATCACCATATTCTAGGGTCAAAATGTTTAACGCATAGCAAAGTCCTTTTCGGTTTCTAGATATCTTCTTTGTTAAGTTAAAAAATTAAAGTTGAAAGACCTTTGATAGAAATATTCCTTGTAGCCAGACTAAAAAACTTTAGGCAACCATACAAAACAAACGTGTATTTAATGAGACCATTTACTACTCATACAAAAAGGTCAAAGTCATTATTGACCATTAGATGCGAAATCAGGTGATTGGGGATGTGCTGTTGATTAGGTTCAAAATCTAAAATATTTTTTTTAAAAAAGTTATGAGGCATTTCAACATATCGGATTCAACATCCAATTGCTATGACTAATTATGATCTTGTACAAAGACCGAATCGTCTTATAGCATACAATCCTACCAAAAAAGTATAAAAAGCATTAGAATCATAAAATTGGCAAGCATTATATCAAAATAATGCCCACCCCGGTACCTTATATGAACCTCACCCAATGCTCTTAAACACACGCGTAAAGCATGCGCACGTACAAGTTTATGCTGATAAACCTAAAGGGAGATGAGTTACCCTACTTTGTATGTCCTTCAAATTTCAAACCCTACTGTGCATGACCTTCAAATCTCGACTAAAAGATGTTCTAATTCTTGTCCCTTTCCATTTGAATTTGCTGCCTCTAGGCTACAGAGCTCAGTCTCTATTAGGAGAGAGAGGATGCCTCACAATGGCATCTCTCCACCACCAAAGAACCTCATATCCCTCTATCAACTCCACCATCAACATCATTCCTTTACTCTCCTCAAAAACCCAACTTACAAATAGGGCTGAGAATTTTTCTAATCGGGTCTCAATCTGGATCCAAATTCATATGGGATCCATATTCAAAACCAATAGGATTATGAAATTCTCGGATCCACA